ACTTACATGACCACAAGGTCCCCCAATAGGCCATCGGCAGGCTGAGGAGCAAGGAGATCCAGTCCGAGTCTCAAAACTGAAGAACCTGGAGTCCGATGTTGGAGGGCGGGAAGCATCCAGCACGGGAGAAAGATGTAGGCGGGGAGGCGAGGCCCGTCTCTGCTTTTCACGGTTTTCTGCCTGCTTTATATTCGCTGGCAGCTGATTAGATGGTGCCCACCAGATGAAGGGTGGGTCTGCCTTCCTCAGCACACTGACTCATGTTAATCTCCTTTGGCAACCCCTCACAGACACACCCAGGATCAATTCTTTGTATCCTTCAGGCAATCGGGTTGACCTCAGTGCTCGGTGTTAACTGTCTCAGGCCCTGGTGTTCTTCGGTTTTCCTGTAGCGCCTCTAGCCATGGTTTTTCCTCTGTCTGCGTTGACTCTCAGTGAGCCTTCCAATTCCAGGAAAACGTGGCTCATTGTTTCTTCAGCTATTTTCTGCGCTCCAATTATTTCTGTCTCCTCCCGGGATTTTAAGAGAGACGAGAATGCTGACACCTGCGCGTCCCCCTCACCCCTTGGAGCTCTTAAGAGAGTCCTCCGTGCTTCTTCCCTCGCTGTCTGCGGTCACCTGTGTCTCACTCGTGCTGTGGCCGGTCCCCTCAGCCATCCAGCAAGTCCTCTGCACCTGACAGTTTTCCTTGCCCTTCGTCTTTAGTGGAGGCGTCTTCAGGATCCCCCCTCCCCGCTCCCTTCCTGGCCTCTTGCTCTGTCTCCGTAGCTTCTGGGGAGCGTGGCATGGGCTGTGCGCCTCCTCGCCCGGGCTGCTGGTCCATTTTCTTTCTGTGGATTCCGCCGCGGCCAGGACGCCTTACTAGGTCCGTTTTCTCTCTGTGGATTCTGCCGCGGCCAGGACACCTTGCTCGGTCTGTTTTCTTTCTTCCATGGCAGCTCTCCAAAGTCTGGCTTCCCTGCAGTCCAGGTTCCTCTGGGGTCTTGAGCCCTGCTGACCGGCAGCCCACAGGGGTGGACAGGCTCAAGTGCAGGCCTTAGTTGCTCCTACAGCAGGTTTGGGGAGGTGGGTGGTGCCCTTTGTCCTAACCCATAGCCTGCTGGCACCTCCTGTGCCCCCTGCCATCCTGATGTCCCAGGACACCAGCTCAGACAGCCACTAGGGAGTATAGGCCCCTGCCCTGACCGAGAGGCGCCATCAGGGTCAGGGTGAGCCCCGCGGGGCAGCCTGAGAGCCAAGCCCAGGACGTGGTACAGGAGGAGGGGAGAGGCAGGTGAGGGGAGAGGCAGGTCAGGGCCCAGCAGTGTTGGAGAATCTCCTTGTCCTGCTCCGGGGACCCTGGGTGCACGCTGGGCTGCGGAGGCCAGGGGCTGGTGGCCTCGTCCCTGTCTGTCTCTGTGGGACGTTGGTGAGATACAGCGCCATGGCCTTGTCTTGCTGGCGGCGAGGTGGGCCCTCTGCGACAGGCACTCCGGGACGGCATCTTGCTCATTGGAACTCAGCCTCTGCCTGGCAGACAGAGGGAGGGAGTTGCCAGGGCCAGGGTCGTGGCTCTCAGAGGCGCCTGCTGAAGCTGTGGTACAGCCCCAGGTGTTTCTGTGGGGACACAGGGGCTGGAATCCCCGCTAACATCGCGGTTTTACCTCGGCGTGAGACGTGGGTTGAAACCCTGTGTGAAAGTGTGCGTTCTCTTCTCCTTGAGGACCATGTGGATACCCCGTGGGTGGCCTTTCCAAGTGGCTGCCACCTCAGGCCTGGGGGCTGGGGAGGGCTGCAGGCTGCCTACATCTCACAGGCACAGAGTGCTGGGCAGTCTGGGCTCTTGCTGCTGCCCAGCTTCTTTACAGCCTGGCAAATCCGTCTGCTCAGGCTGGCCCTTCTGCAAAGCCAGGTAGCACAGTGTGTGAACTGTATGGCCACAAGGCAAGACGGCCGGAGCCCCCAACGCACACCATGTTCTGGCAGAGCGTGGCCTGAGCTGCTGCTCCGGGCCTCACCCTCGCCCATGAGGTTCAGATAGCAGGCACCCACCTCAGGACTGTCGGAAGATGGAACACGCTAACGCGTAGACGCATCCTAACTGCCCAGTCTCGCGGATGTGCCTGGCGGGTTGTGGGAGTGGTGGCAGGCAGTGGACACGTGTCTGTTTCAGGGCTGGAGGCAACACTAGAGAAAGACACAGCTGTGCGGGGCTTGCGGACAAGGATGAGGAAAGACGAGGAGGCGTCGGACCCCACGTCTGCGGCTGCTCAGCTGTGGTGGCTCCGGGAACACTTGCCGCCACCCTCGTCTGCCAGGTGACTCCCAGTGTCCTTTGTGCTGAGCCCCTGCCTGGCACTGCCACAACCTCTGCCCAGAGCACTGGCTGGCCTTGACAGGCTGCTCAGTGCCTTCTCTGGATATCTTGGCGGAAGCCTGGGATCTGTACCCCCGGCCGGGTGAGCACTGTTGGTGCCATGTTTGGGCTTGTCAGTGCCAGCATCAGCTGGAGCCTGTGTGGGGCTGGGCCAACAAATACCCTTCCAGACACTGCTCGTGCCTCTGAGAGGGGCCCCCAGGGGTGGGGTTTGAGAGGCAGGTGTCAGGTCACCCCTGGGCCAGGGTGTGCTGTGAGGGTAGAGAGGGAGAGGCGGGTGGCTGTGGCAAGCACCAGCAGCACACAGTCAGGATGTCCTGCTCTGTTCCTGTAGCCCCCCCAGAGTATTGCCAGAGCCACAGGAGGCCAAGAAGCTGGCAGCAGAGCGGGCCCGGGCGCCCGTGGTGCCCTACGGCGTGGACCTGCACTACTGGGGCCAGGAGCTCCCCACAGCCGGGAAGATCCTCAAGTGAGTCCCCATGTGTCTGAAGTCGACCAGGGCACACAGCCAGGGTCTCAGCCTGAGGAGGGGCTGCTGGCTTGCCAGGCCTCCCTGGGTCTGAGGAAGCTGGCCCCGCCTCCCAGCTCTGCCCCACCTTCCGGGCACCTGGAGGGGCACAGGGATGGGCCTCCCCTGCTGAGTCAGCTCCTGGAGCCCAGCAGGGCTTTTGTGAGCCTTTCTGCTGCTGCGTCGGGGGCCGTCCATGGAACGTAAGTGTTACCAATCCTGTGGGAACAGCTGGAGGAGAAACCACTTCCCTAAAGGCGGCCCTGGGGCCCACTGAGTTTGTTCTGCTTCAAACTGCAGTTGGCTGAGGTCGGGAAGAAATAGCCGTCCCTGCCACACATTGCCACCAGGGGTGCCCCAAGGCCAGTGCTTGGTTTTGGGGCCTGGCAGGTGACACCCAGCAAAGCTCCCACCTAGAAGCGGATGCCTGCCCCTCCTCCCGCCTGCCTGGCGTGTCCCCAGGACCACAGGCTTTGTCCTGACCCCCTGGGCAGTTGGGCTGAGAGAGAGGCCTGAACAGCTCCTGGTGAAGACCCGGTTAGTCCTGGATGGCACCAGGGCCCTGCTGGGCAGGCCTGGCTTCACGCTCCACCTGCCTGGCCCGTCAGCACCACACACCTGGTGCATCAAGCTCATGGTTTTTTTTTTGTTGTTTTTTTGTTTTTTTTTTAATTTTTTTTTTTTTGAGACGGAGTCTTGCTCTGTCGCCCAGGCTGGGGCGCAGTGACCGGATCTCGGCTCACTGCAAGCTCCGCCTCCCGGGTTCCCGCCATTCTCCTGCCTCAGCCTCCCGAGTAGCTGGGACTAC